TATTGCCATTGCTCCTGGTTGATACATTGATCTGTTATGAAGCAAGAAACATACCTGTGCAAGAATCTCAACATTGTTTACAAAATCATCAGCTTGAGCAAATGATCCTCACTAATAGGTAGGAAAATCTAGGAGTGCATTTAAGACGCATTTGTCACGGCTGTGAATTGAAAACAATAATATTAAAAATAATAATTTTTACACAGAATGTTTGATTTATACCATAAGACCTCAGTGTGTGATCAGGATCCATGGGTATTAATTGTTTCAATTTTTTGACTTTCAAAGTGCCAGTAGCCATTAACTTGCATGTTATGGAACGGTTTCAGCTAAAAAAATAAATATAAATCATGTAAAATAATACAAAAATGACATTGGATTAAATAATTTAACAGCAGATAATCAATCTTTGGGTAAATCCTCTCAGTTATAAGCTTTCGAATTTCGTTTAGACCTTGACTTGATCTGCAAGAAGCTGATTTAATTTTATTGCGCGGTCAAATCAATATGATGATAGCCACTCTTAATAAGCTTCCCTGAAAATAGCAGCCATAAATCCTCCCTGTACTGTATTTGTTCTTTTAAACTATTTCAGTGGATGAAATGAGCTGTTTAAGATGAAAGTAATCTTGAGAGAGTCTAAAGGCGTCACATTTCAGCAATGGAGACCCTCATTGCTTCCTGTATATAGAGTCAATATTGCCACAATCCTGTTTTTGCTTCTTTCTCATCTGTATTTATTTGCACCGCTCTAATCTCTCTGTTCTAGATTTATTCTTTTGGAATATGTGTAAGGAAAATAGCAGATGGTTGTGGCCCAATATTCCCTGTCTGCAATATGATTCAGAGTTTATGCACTCCCGATTATACATTGGGTTTTGTTTGGATGGAAATACAAATACAACAAGTGAAGGAAGCAATGTCGTGTGCCAGTGTCTTATTTTTATATAATAGTTAATATTAAATTTTTAAGTTTACCTATTTATTTCTACATGTTTTATTTAGATATATAAGTAAATGAACATATATATGTTTATTTAGTTATTTTATTTGTTTAAGTGTTTATTTATTTATCTATTTATTTATTTATTTATTTATTTATTTTCATTCGTTTGACTACTTATTTGTGTATTTATTTATTTATGTGTTTATTTATTTATGTTTAATTTATTTATTGTTTAACTTCATAAGTATAATTTTTTAAATTTATTATTTATTTATTTGTTTATTTATTTAAAAATATTTCAAAGTGCTGTTTAGCATAATATTTTTATACATAATAGTTTAAAAAATAATTTCTAATAACAATATAAGACATAATATTAAGATATAATATTTTACAAGTTAAATAGCAAGAAACTACTGAGCAGTTTTTTTTATTTATTCATAATTCTTTTAAAAATATTTTCAAAGAGCTGTTTACAATAATAGTTTTTATACATACATCTTTTTAAAATTAATTTCTAATAACTAATAATAATAAACCTAATAATAACTCTAATAATTTATTTTGTCTTGACTTAATAACCATGCATACCTATTTTACTAGTTATTTAGCAAATATTACTGAGCTGAGAATTATGAGAATCATTTCTTTATTTTAATTTATGCTTTTATTTATTTACCAGCCAAACTTGAAGTAACAGTTTCTTTAGAAGAGTAATATAATGTAAATAATACTGTGGAAAAATGTCCTTGCACTGTTAAACATCACTTGGTGATTTTATCAGTATTTACTTTAAATTAATAATTGTGTTTTCAACTGTATATATCTGCCGGCACAAAAAGAGTTCAAACTAATTAGTATAATACAGCTTTTAAAATATAGTCAATTAAAAGGTGTGCTCAAAAGTAATAATAATATTTAATAACATTTCCATCATGATTTACCAAAGATGACCTCTGAAATATAATTTTTCGTAACAAAATGATATGAACAATAATTTATGTACAAAAATATCTTGTAAGGCATAATTATAACAATTAGGTCAATTAAATTATCATAAAAAAATTTCACTTTATGTATGATAATATTTTTTTCTCCTGGAGAAAGTCTGATTTGTTTTATTTTGGCTAGAATAAAAGCAATTTTACATAAAAAAAAAAAAAAAACATTTTAAGGTCATATTATTAGCCCCTTTAAGCAATTTTTTTTCGATAGTCTACAGAACAAACCATCGTTATACAATAACTTGCCTAATTACCCTAACCTGCCTAGTTAACCTAATTCAGGGATTCCCAAACTTTTCAGCCTGCGACCCCCAAAATGACAATGCCAGTGACTCGCGACCCCCAATATAATACAGAAACCTTGCATGCAATAGCGAACACACAAACCAATAGACCCAAGTCTATTCTACGCTTATTTTTTAAATGTATCTGAGTGCTGTAAACGGGCCAAAAAGCTTAACCTGGTGTTATAAAATCAATCTGCTGCATCTGACGCTATTGCTCTTTAATCTAGTCTGTAACAGAATATAATTCATCACAATCCAATAGAACTATAAGCTACTATAGTGACTATTTAGTATATGGTAGCTATAAACGACATTTTTTTTCTTTTCAGTAGGTTATGGGTAAAATATGGTATTTCTTATGGTTTAATAAAATAAAACGATTTTTGGAAATCACCAGGCGACCCCCGACCCCCCCCCCCCTCTCTCTTTGTCCCACGACCCCCATTTTGAGAACCATTGACCTAATTAACCTAGTTAAGCTTTTAATTGTCACTTTAAGCTGTATAGAAGTGTCTAGAAAAATATCTAGTCAAATATTATTTACTGTCATTATGGCAAAGATAAAATAAATCAGTTATTAGAGATGAGTTATTAAAACCAATATGATTAGAAATGTGTTCTGTTAAACAGAAATTAGGGGAAAAAAGTAAACAAGGGGGCTAATAATTCAGGGGGCTAATAATTCTGACTTTAACTGTATGTTACACACACTGAATGATGAGGAGCATTGTTTCACTCATATTTTGAAGTGATCAAATGATATAAAAATATTAAAGAAGACACTTCTCATGCATTTAATATTCCTGTTTTTATGTTTACAAACTCGCAACTGGCGACACAGTGGCTCAGCGGGCAGCACTGTCGCCTCGCAGCATTTCTGTGTGGAGTTTGCATGTATTCTTTGGGTGCTCCCGTTTACCCCTCAGTCCAAACACATGCACTTTAGGTGAATTGAATTGTATGGGTGTTTCCCAGTACTGCGTTGCAGCTGGAAGGGCATGCGCTGTGTAAAACATGCTAGATAAGTTGGCGGTTCATTCTGTTGTGGCGACCGCTGATTAATAAAGGGACTAAGCTAAAAGAAAATGAATGAATGAATGAAACTCGCAACTCAAACATGTAAATCCAGAGAAACAGGACTATTTTTTTCTGTAGCTGTATATACTTTTTTTCTCGCTTGGACATCTTCAGCTGCTTGCAAAACCGGATTAACCAGGTTTGAATGCTGTGGGTGTTTTAAACCGTGTTTACCTGTAAACTTACTGAAAACAAAAAGTGCTTTCAGCTCAACTGCTAGTATTTTAATGAACGCTCATATTTACAACCCAGAAATATCAAGGGAATTAAAAAACTATCAGTGAAAATGAATAGATAAATAAAGCATCAGCAAATACACATCTTCCATGCAGTAGGATGGTATAAATCAGTGTTAAATCTAAGCTATGTGACATCAGGTGGTTAATACACTTCTTATGAAGTGCATCAGTGTTTTTAAATTACATGTGTGGACTTACAGTGGAAGGAAATAAACAATCCTAAATATCAACACAACACTGGACATAAGAGCCATTTTAAACCTATACATACAGGGTTCAACGCTAAGGATTTTTTCTACTGGCCCGATTGGACCAGTGGTTCAGATTTTTACTTGCCCTTGCCCAAAATTTTTACTGGCCCCATAAAAGACAGAAAAAAGTTAGCCACATATATTAAATAATGCTTCACGAAATAATGTCAGGCGGTTCATTCCACTGTGGCGACCCCAGATTAATAAAGAGACAAAACCGAAAAGAAAATGAATGAATGAAAATAATGTCAGTAGTTGTAGAATTTAAATATTTGAAAAATATTTAGCAGTAAAATATAGCAGTATACTGAAAAAAGTGTTGCATGCAGAACTGTTGCAAACAATTTATTTGTGTTGAATTTAAACAAACAAATTAAGTTTATTAATGTTTAACTTAATTTGTTTGTTTAAATTCAACACAGATAAATTGTTTACAACCACCTTACGTAAAAAAATTGAGCAAATCCAAGGAGTCATCTCTGAATAATTTTTTTCAGTGTATGGAAAACGTGCACGTATTTTATTGCAAAACAAAAGGTGGCTGACTTAAAAGCCACGGCAAACTAAGCAAAACAGCACCTTTCCTTTAGCATTTCCTTTAACCTCATAATTTATTGTCGCGGTCATGTTGCCGTCTATTAAAATTTAGTGACAAGGCAGCACTGCCCCGATCGGGCCAGTAACAATCCTGTCCACTGTCCCGAGCATCTCTCACACTGGCCCCAGGCCATCGGGCAGTCCTTATTGTTGAGCCCTGACATAACTAACACACTGGAGCGGTAATCTAACTAGAACAACTACTAATAAATATAAATATTTAACTATACACATACCCTAAAACCAACTATGCAAGTACTTTTACATAAGACAGAATAATAAATAAGACCTGTTTGTAGTGTAAGATTAACATTGACCTTATTCAGCCTTTGAAATCATTCACTCACATTGATTTTTCAATGTTATAAACAGCTCCATGTTGTAAACCAATAGGTTAAGGCCATATAATCTGCTTGTTAAGTTCTGATGTATGAAATACTATTTGCGGGTCCATGCCGTTACTCATTTACATTGAGAATATATTTGTTTATGACCACCTTTTAGTTATATCACACATTAAAGTGAATTTCTTCTAAAATCATGGTGTACATGACGGTCTCTGTTCTTGCTGCATCACAGACAAAGGCTCTACACTTGCTTGGATTAGATCTCATTCAGAGCATTTGACCAATCATAAACGAGCCCTGTTTGTTATGAAGGCGTTTTGTTATTGTGTTTTCATGCATCACAAAAGAAGTGAAACCAGACGAGCTTCAGGAATTCACTGCTCTAGTTTTCAGGCATGAGGAAACGTACGTGAAGATTAACGCTTGTGGAGGAGGAAGTGCGGTGAGAAAAATCAGCTGTAAATTCTCAACCCGTGGCATTCGGCTGCTGGATCTGACATGCTGCACTTGTGTTATGTTTATCTTTATTCTGCTTTCAGGTTTTCAAGAACTCAAGGTAAGGATTTTAATGTCTTCAAATTTAGGGCTGTACTATATATATCGTTTCAGCATCGATATTGTAATGTGTGCATCTGTAATACACTGAAAACAAATAATTCGTTGGATTTACTCAATTTTCTTTTTGAGGTAAGTGCTTACAAGTTATTTATACGGGTTAAATTTGAACAAGTCAAGTTGAACATTATTTAATTGGTTTGTTTAAATTCACCCCTTATCAATTGTTTGCCGTCACTTACCTTAAAAAAAAATGAGTAAATCCAATGACTGATTTTTGATTTTGCAATGTTGAGTTGGGATTGTAGTTGATCAGAAACTACTGTTGAAAACATGTTGTCGTCATTAACAGTGTAATTTTAATAGAGTGTATATAAAGCCTGTTTCAAGCAAATGTATAGCTTTAACAAAGACTGATTTGTTGTTAATAAAATTAATCTAAGGCACTCAAAAGATGTGGGAAAAAAATATTAAAAAGCCTTTATTCACATGGCTAATCTTAAAAAAAAAAAAAACTACGGTTTTTGGCAGAGAGCTGCCTTCATCAGGGTAAAAGTGATCAGGCGCATCTGGAGTTTCTTTCAATTAGAATATCAAAACCAAACTTTAACAATACATTAAACAAGATCAACTCAACAATCAGCATTAATTCAGCCTTTAGCATTGATAGATGTATGTGTATGTATGTATGTATGTATATATACATAAATACATGCATACGTACATACATACATACATACAGTTGAAGTCAGAATTATTAGCCCCCCCTAAATTATTCGACCCATGTTTACTTTTTTCTCATAATTTCTGTTTAACAGAGCAGATTTTTTTCCAACACATTTCTAATCATAATAGTTTTAATAAATCATCTCTAATAACTGATTTATTTTATCTTTGCCATGATGACAGTGAATAATATTTGACTAGATATTCTTCAAGACACTTCTATACAGCTTAAAGTAATATTTAAAGGCTTAACTGGGTCAATTAGGTTAACTAGGCAGGTTAGAGTAATTAGGCGAGTAAATTGCATAATGATAACGCAGTTGCATTTTTTTTCTGAATGAGTACAATTGTTTGTATTCAATACTTTATTATTATTATTATTTTTCATTTTCCTTATCTGTAACGCTTGTATTTTGGCTTTTTTTTTTTTGCAGTCCACCTAGAATCCAACATGGAAATCGATGTTTTCTTTATTGGTATTGATTTTTTTTTTTTTAAATTCAAATGGCTCTAACATGCCAGTGTTATTATTTCTGTAATAAATATGTCTGTCAAGCAGGATCTTGATGGCTTATTGTGGGTATGTCGTTTACATGAAGAAATGTGTGTTACAAGTTAAACAAATTCTAATAAAAAATTATATTTTGAATTTAAATGGTTTTTGTCTTGCGTTTACATAAATTTTACATTTGAATAGCCAAAATTACAAGCTTCAGTCTTAGAAATGCTATCAATCGTGATTCATTTTCAAAAAAGTGTGATTAATTTGTAAATTTTTTTAATCAATTGACTGCACCAAAAAAAAAAAAAAAAAAAAAATATATATATATATATATATATATATATATATATATATATTTTTTTTTTTTAAATAAATATATAAATAAATACATTTATATATATATATATATATATATATATATATATATATATATATATATATATATATATATATATATATATATATATATATATATATATATATATATATATGTGTGTGTGTGTGTGTGTGTGTGTGTGTGTGTGTGTGTGTGTGTGTGTGTGTGTGTGTGTGTGTGTGTGTGTTTCTCTGTTTGAATTTGGGGGAAAAAAATAAACAGGGGGGCTAACACTTCAGACTTCAACTGTATATATTTGAAATGGTATAAAGCGTGTTTCTATTATGTTTAGAAATGTGTTGAAAAGAAATCTTTCTGTTAACCTAAAATTGGGGAAAAATATACAGAGGGATTAATAAATCTAGAGGTCTAATAATTCTGACTTCAACTGTATATCGCAGAAAAACAAAACATTACAATGTCAGTTTTTTTCAATATGGTGCAGCCTTATTTCAAATCAGCGTCTGAACTTGCTGGACTAGTTTATATTGCAGTGTGTAAATTATGTTGATAGTTAAACATGGTTTTTCCCCCTCAGAGGATAGTCATTTAATGTGAGTGCTGACGTACTGTTGTATGAAGATGACGATGATGGTGGATAGCAAGGATTTCTGGAGTTTGGATCTCTCAAACATCATGGTGAAGCAGCGATCGACGTCTTCTCAAACGCGTTACTCCATCAGCTCCTGCCTCTGTAATCTGTCTCGCTGTGAAAAAAATTCTCCTAAATTCACAGGTAAGATCTCTCAGGGTCTCTGCGTGGTCTTTAAGTCAGTTTAAGGCCTTTAAAACACATGTGAAATCAAAACTAACAAACTGATTCTGTTTGCTCATATTGCTAGTTTTGTGGTGAACAATTCACCTGTGCATGGCTTTTTCGCTCCCCCCTCATACACCCCCACACCCGGGGTTTAACAGCAGCCTGTACATATATTCATCGATTGTAAATCTCTGTTCTTAGTTAATACAACCTGCATATACGGTTATGTTCATAGTACATCTATGTATATATACAGTATGTATATACAGCATCAGAAAAGATCAGTTCTAATGCAATAGACACTAATAAGCAAACTGCTTATATTTTTGAGGGACATTTCAGATGTTTTGAAGTACTTTATGTGGGGACGTCTGATGTGTTTTCGCTCACACAGAGGTGCAGATGCCTGAAGACTCACAGGTCGTGGAGATGGCAGTGCTTGTGCTGGGAATTCTGCTGGGATTTGTGGGATTTGTGGCAGGAGTCGTTGTTATCGTAATGAGCAAACTGGAGCCGCAGGCGGTATGATCATGTCCTTCACACTGGACATCATTTCTTGATGCTGATTTATTGTATAAATAAAGGTTTTTTTTATTAAATATGTGTCTTCTTTTAAATCAGTTTGACAATGTTATTGTAATTTATTTCTTATCCAGAACAACTTTTAAGAATTAAGAATAAGGCAGACAGACAGAGAGATGGATGGATGGATGGATCAATAGATAGATAGATAGATGGATGGACGGACTGACTGACGGACGGACGGACGGACGGACGGACGGACAGACAGACAGACAGATAGATAGATAGATAGATAGACAGACAGACAGATAGATAGATAGATAGATAGATAGATAGACAGATAGATAGATAGACAGATAGATAGATAGACAGACAGACATACACCCATGTTTTGGGTGTTTTATGGAAGGACGAACTTGTAATAAAAGCATAAAAATAAGCTTTAATTTTTTTTAAAAGCTATACATTTAAAAAATATTAAAATATTATTTAGAGATAATAAACATAACTGGGCTATTTGCTGTGGTGACTGTTGCATTTAGCAACAAAATAAATGTACAAATAAAATAAATATAACAAATAAAATACAAATATAATAACATTTTATGTACATAAATGGCTGCATTGCATTTAATAGGTTTCTAGCCTGGATAGGTAGTGAAAATGGAAAAGAAAAATGGACATGAAGACATTTTGTGACATGGTATTTTAATAACTGCCATTAATAAAATACAAAAATATATTCCAATTCTTTTTATTGTTTTATTTCATTTTAATATTAGTGTTCATTGCAAATGAAAAACCAGAATGAGAGTAAATTATATACCAGTCAAAAGTCTTGTAGTTTCAAATGAAATTATTATTCCAGTCATAATTGCTTTACATTAATAATAATAATAATAACAATGATAATTAATATTAGAGTGATTTCTGAAGGATAATGTGACTCTGAAGACTGCAGTAATTAAGCTGAAAATTCATCTTTAAAATTACTGGAATAAATGATTAAATTAAATTAAAAACTACTTTTGAACAGTTATTTTACAGGGCATTAACATTTCACTATTTTACAATTTGTTCTGTATTTTGCAGCCTTGGTGAGCAGGAGAAGCTTATTTTAAAATTTTTTTTATTCTAGCCAAAATAAAACAAATAAGACTTTCTCCAGAAGAAAAAATATTATCAGATGTACTGTGAAAGTTTTTTTGTATATATATATATATATATATATATATATATATATATATATATATATATATATAATTTTTTTTATTTATTTTTCCATCCCCAACATGAGGCAACTTAAAGTTGATATCTCAAACGTTATCTTTCAGCAAGATTTAGTTTGGCTGCAGTACCACACATGACCACCAGTTGACATAAAATTTCCATTGGGGACCATACAAGGGCTCTCCCTAGGTTTTGAGAAATATATGAACTGTAATTTATCCTACTTTTGACAATATTTGTGAAGTAGACATTTAATTCTAAAGCAGTATGGGAAGGTTGGTGGTATTTGAATTGAATTTAGCGATATAAAAACAGATATAAAAACTGTATTTTACGCTTTCAAATGATAAATAGTTAGTATAGGCTCGTCTTTGTAGAATATATATATATATATATATATATATATATATATATATATATATATATATATATATATATATATATATATATACAGTATATATTCAATATGCAGATTCTGCTAATTTTTTTTTACATTACCAATTTTATTTTTGATGTTTCAACATTATTTGTGTTTTCAACGTTGTAAGTCTATCACGCGCCTGCTGGGTGCATATTAAAATTAAAAACAAAAATCCCAAACTTTAGATACATATCTAAAAATTATTTCAGGGCAGCACAGTAGAGCAGTGGGAAGCACAATTGCATCACAGCAAGAATGCCGCTGGTTTGAGCCCCAGTTTGGGTCAGTTTGTGTTTCTGTGTGTAGTTTGCATGTTCTCCCCATGTTCGCGTGGGTTTCCTCTGGGTGTTTAGGTTTCCCCCACTGTCCAAAGACATGCTATAGGTGAATTGGGTAAGCAAAATGTCAGTAGTGTGTGAGTGTGAATGAGTGTGTATTGATGTTTCCCAGTGATAGGTTGCAGCTAGAAGGGCATGCTGGATAAATTGGCGGTTCATTCCGCTGTGGCGACCCCAGATTAATAAAGGGACTAAGCTGAAAAGAAAATCAATGAATGAATAAATTATTTCAATTTTCAACTGCATTTCAAATTCAGTCTATATTTAATCGAGGGAATGACCCATATAAAGCCCCACTCTGTGACTGATATACATCACAGCTCTTACATCATCAGCTTCTTTTATTTCCCAGAGATGACGAGCATCATCATATATTCATCCTTCAGTTCAGATCTCTGTCATGAACTAAGCAGATCGAGGTAATTAATTCATTCACAGTTTCAGCTCTGACAGCAGCAGATAAGCAGGCATGAGGGGAAAGCTAAGCTTAATTGCATTAATTAAATGAGGGCTGGATAATCCGCCTATGAACTCACGACTCACTTCACGTTTACCCTGAGCATAAAAAAAATACTGAATTAAAGGGGTAGTTCACCCAAAAATGAACATTAACTCTCTATTTACTGACTTTTATCAGTTTCTTTCTTCTCTTGAACAAATTATTTTTTTTTAAGTTGGGTTTTAACAATACAATCATAATAACTATGACATTGGATTACATCAAGTACAATAATAAACAAGGAAGCAATTTAAATAATAATACTATAAAAAAAATACAAGATACAGAGCCAAAACAATCAAAATAATTTTTTACTTTTACAAAATCCTTATAAAATTTCAGTTCTTACACTTTTTTTTACTATAAACATTTTGTAATGTAGTAATTAAACAATTTAAGTCATAAAGAAAATTATGCAAATTAGGTAAAGAAGAATTTACATTTGCGAATATACAGTTGAAGTTAGAATTATTAGCCCCCCTTTGAATTTTTATTTCTTTTTTTAAAATATTTCCCAAATTTCGTTTGACAGAGCAAGGACGTTTTCACAGTATGTCTGATAATATTTTTTCTTCTTATTTGAAGTCTTATTTGCTTTATTTCAGCTGGAATAAAAGCAGTTATTAATTTTTTTAAACATCATTTTAGGGACAAAATTATTAACCCCTTTAAGCAAATAGTCTACAATACAAGCCATCATTATACAATACCTTGCTTAATTACCCTAACCTGCCTAGTTAACCTAATTAAGCCTTTAAATGTCACTTTAAGCTGTGTAGAAGTGTCTTGAAACATATCTAGTCAAATATTATTTACTGTCATCATGGCAAAGATTTAAAAAATCAGTTATTAAAAATGAGTTATTAAAACTATTATGTTTAGAAATGTGCTGAAAAAAAACACTCTCTTAAACAGAACTTGGGGAAAAATAAACATAGGGGCTAATAATTCAGGGGCCTAATAACTCTGGCTTCAACTGTATTTACTCTTTTAAATAAATAGATTGCCTTTATATTCTGTTATGTTTGTCATGAGAAAAAGTAACAACTTATATCACACAGAAAAATCAGTGTTGAAGATAACAAATAAAGAAACATATAAAACAAAGCTGAAAACCACCGATGTCCCTTCCATAGTAGGAAACACAAGTATGTAAGTCAGTGGTTACAGCTTTTCTTTGAAATATCTTGTTTTGAGTTCAACAGAAGAAATGAAGTCAAATCGGTTTTAAACAAGTGAGTAGGCCAAGCATAAATGATGACAGGATTTTCATTTTTGGGTAAACTTAACCCTTTAACCAGATAATCGAGTGAAAATAATACTGGTGTACTGGTCGTACATTGTATAATAATTGTATCTGTCAGTAAAAATGTTGCATTATTATATTGCTATTTACTGTGGTGGGGACAGTTGCACTAATTTTTGCTTTCTTTCAGTTTCTCAGAGACCGTTTTTTTTTTTTTTTTTTTTTTTTTTGTGGAAACTCACAATTTTAATATAATAAACCCACTTCTTTTGAACACCCACCCACATTGCTATAATATGTGTATATATCATATGATAATACATGCAGAATTCAAACTTGAACAGAGTTCAAGTCAAACAAAGTCAAACATGACCCCGAGCAGGGGGACGGTTGCAACAACCCACAGCACAGGGACAGTGTAAAATGTAATAATAAAAAAAAAATCTAAAACATCAGGTTGGATTTTATTTTTATTTTATTTGATAAACAGACTAAATGTAAATTGGTTAAACTGTAAATATGCTAACTTAGCCATATTATTACAGACTATTAAAAGAACAAGCAATAGCCAATTATCAGGCCTAAAATAAAACAGAACAATTTTTTTGTTTTATTGAAAATTTAGACTAAACGTTTACTAAACTACTTCTTTGAACTTTTAAATGAATTATTTAATCAAAGAATTCATTCTTTAAAATAAAATTACATTGGAAATTTGATACAATTTAAATTGCACATTGGTAATATGACAAGCTTTAAAATGAATTTACTGTTGCAACTGTCCCAACTCTGTCAACCATGATTAAACGGCAGTCTATGCTATGTAGATACAATAGCTTTAATGCTTGATAGCTATATATATATATATATATATATATATATATATATATATATATATATATATATATATTTAAAGCTAGGAAAACAGTGTAGAAAACATTATACAAATGAATAATGTTTCACCAAATCAGGTTGGACAGTATGAGAAATTTTCTGAACATTAAAAAAATTATTACATTATAAAATAAATTATTTGTTTTACCTCAAAATGGGTTTTACACCAATGGCTGATTTCTCCCAGACTGAAGGAGGGTCTAACTGAGAATATGTATGAATATCATCACTCCTAGCTCATTCCCGAATGGAGGATGCCCCATGGTTTGTTGAAGAAGTGTTGACGAACTCAACCCACTAACAAAGATGGCACAACCATATATTCGAGTGAAAAGAAGACTCGTGTACAGTTGTATTGTATACGTTGTACGATTATTGTATCAGACAGTAAACATTTAGAATTATTATATCATTATTCACTGTAGTATTTACCATCTTTGTCCTAGGTG